TCCTCCTGAGGTCCAGTCCCGGAAGGGGCACCCCCCACTCTTGTTGGCCTTCTGGGGGTTGAGGGAGGTTCTGCTGTTAGTATTTCCCGAGTAGGAATGAACGGGAAGAGGAGCAGACCATCTCATCTTCTCCTTAACCTTGTCCAAGTCCCCCCCAGCGCCCCAATTGCCCTCCCTGAAATGGGGCCACTTTGCAGCCAGATGTTGGCAGTTTGATCTTAGAGCGTGTGCAGAGTGCCTCGCCCGCAGCAGCAACCACAGCAGGTGAGATGAGTTGATGGGGTGTTAATTCAGGGGCAGCCCCAGAACTTCTCCCTTTCAGGAATTAAGATCCTAAATACCAGAAGTCCAACTGCCCAGAACTCTCTGCCCGGCATCTTAATGGGACCCGGCCGACTGTGCTCACTGGGTGGCTGGAGAGGCGCCCCCTGGAGGCTCAGGCACCATCCCTCTGGGCGCCAAGGCACCAGTGAAGTGGGCACCATTTGCCCACGGCTGTTTCGATAGGCGTGAGATGGCCGGGCCCTTTGGGGTGATGCCACGACGTGTGCGCCTGAAGCTGCCCTCCTTCGCCCCCAGGCTTCTTCTCCTTGTACTACCACATGACTCTGAGCTACGCAGGGCAGCTCCTGGATGAGCTCTCCATCCTCTGGACCATGTGCATCTCTTACGCCTTCTGGTTCCCCGTCCGCTATTTCCCCGGATTCATCAAAAATAGGTAGGCAAGGCCGCCATGCAGCTGGAGGGGCCACCGCTTCCCTGCGGTCGGACCGCCAGAGGGGGTGGAGGGCGGGGCAGCCTTCTTGGGCACTGAAGACCAGCCTGCTGCAGGGCAGGGGGGTCCGAAAGCAGCTGGAAATCGGGGTGAGCAGGCTGCAATCACCTTGACCAAAAAGGCCCCGCAGCTTTTGGATAGGGGACCCAAACCTTGCTGGACTTGTTTGATCATTGGTGAAACATCTGGAGCCAGGGGTGGCGCGCCTTGGCAAAGAGCTGTCTCCCAGTGGCTACGTTAGGTGGTTGAATGATGCCAAACCCAGTGAAAAGGGTGGAATTGCAGAGCAAGCTTAGCCCCCCACCCCGAAGGTTAGCGCTAACGAAACTTGGTGTCTTCTGCAAACGTGCCTCCTGACCTCGGAATCACACACGGGGGAAGGTTGGAGGCTGAGCCATGCCGCCGTTCCCGCTCCCCAGCGGCAGCCCACCCCACACGGCCCCCCATCAGGCCGTGGCATTCTGGAGGAGCAAGGGCTGTTGTCCCCTTAGAGCAGTGTTTCTCAACCTGGGCCACTTGAAGATGGGTGGCCTTCAACTCCCAGAATTCCCCA